CAACTTCCACCATGCATGTCAAGTTCTTCATTACCATGTCACAGGTGTGCTTTAACCATCCATTATCTGACATCGATCCATCATCACATTTTATGCCACTTAAGCCATTCAGCCTCCATGGTCTAAAGGTTTACTGAAAAGTCACTGGGTTAACAAAACAACATTCCAATCTCAAAAAGTTAACATTGACCATATTTTAAACAAATTCTAAATTAAAATGATAACAATTGTTTTGTTGGTTCTCAAGTCATATGGCGACTGGGCACCTTTATTGGTAGAAAATATGTCCAAAACGTACATTGTTTCAGGCAAGGGCTGGTACCAGAGTAAAACAACGGACATTCCAGTCTACATGGTTATAGACTTTAAAGCTACAAAAGACAATTTAATCAACTAAGGAATGTGTAACTGATTTATCACTTAACTATTGAAAAATTGAACCTCAATACATGTTGCACTCAAGCTGTCTTGTGACTTACACAAATTCAAAATAGATAATTTACCAATGCTCCATCATTTCACTTTCCAGCACAATCACACTTCACCAATGTCACAACAATCATTTCACCAATGTCACACAACCATCCACATTCCAACATAAATCCTCCATCACAACTTCCGACATGAACCTAGCAATCCAGCCAACATGTTTGGGTTTTCTGAAATGTCACTGGTGTTAACAGAACAACATTGCAAAATTTAACACTTTAAGCTAAATTCTTTTGAAATTAAACAGATACAATACTTATTTTATTATAGTGACTGTCCAGCTTTACAGATAAAGGAAAATATGCCTTAATAGCATTGTTTTGGACAAAGAGAGGCACCTATTAAGAGTAGAACCACCAACTTTCCATTAACTAGCTAGCTATACAACTATAAATGGAAATGCCTTTATTGAGACTAACTTGTGACCTCAAAAACAAATTTTACCTGACCATACAAAATGTCTGTCTCTCTCCACACTGAAACAACTTCCATTTTTACAAATCTGCCAGCACAGAGGTGTAGAAAGCTATTCCATACCATATCCTTCTTGCGAGTATATAGTCACTGGACCTCTCGAAGCATTGATAGTCTTGATCAACTTCCACCATGCATGTCAAGTTCTTCATTACCATGTCACAGGTGTGCTTTAACCATCCATTATCTGACATCGATCCATCATCACATTTTATGCCACTTAAGCCATTCAGCCTCCATGGTCTAAAGGTTTACTGAAAAGTCACTGGGTTAACAAAACAACATTCCAATCTCAAAAAGTTAACATTGACCATATTTTACACAAATTCTTAATTAAAATGATAACAATTGTTTTGTTGGTTCTCAAGTCATAAGGCGACTGGGCACCTTTATTGGTAGAAAATATGTCCCAAACGTACATTGTTTCAGGCAAGGGCTGGTACCAGAGTAAAACAACGGACATTCCAGTCTACATGGTTATAGACTTTAAAGCTACAAAAGACAATTTAATCAACTAAGGAATGTGTAACTGATTTATCACTTAACTATTGAAAAATTGAACCTCAATACATGTTGCACTCAAGCTGTCTTGTGACTTACACAAATTCAAAATAGATAATTTACCAATGCTCCATCATTTCACTTTCCAGCACAATCACACTTCACCAATGTCACAACAATCATTTCACCAATGTCACACAACCATCCACATTCCAACATAAATCCTCCATCACAACTTCCGACATGAACCTAGCAATCCAGCCAACATGTTTGGGTTTTCTGAAATGTCACTGGTGTTAACAGAACAACATTGCAAAATTTAACACTTTAAGCTAAATTCTTTTGAAATTAAACAGATACAATACTTATTTTATTATAGTGACTGTCTAGCTTTACAGATAGAGGAAAATATGCCTTAATAGCATTGTTTTGGACAAAGACAGGCACCTATTAAGAGTAGAACCACCAACTTTCCATAAACTAGCTAGTTATACAACTATAAATGGAAATGCCTTTATTGAGACTTACTTGTGACCTCAAAAACAAATTTTACCTGACCATACAAAATGTCTGTCTCTCTCCACATTGAAACAACTTCCATTCTTACAAATCTGCCAGCACAGAGGTGTAGAAAGCTATTCCATACCATATCCTTCTTGCGAGTATATAGTCGCTGGACCTCTCGAAGAATTGATAGTCTCGATCAACTTCCACCATGCATGTCAAGTACTTCATTACTCTGTCCCAGTCCACTTTCTTACATCGATCCATCATCACATTTGATGCAACTTAATGGTCAGTGAAATACCACATCCATCATCATATTTGGTGCAACTCCATGGTCCATCATCACATTTGGTGCAACTCTATGGTCCATCATCACATTTGGTGCAACTCCATGATCCATCATCATATTTGGTGCAACTCCATGGTCCATCATCACATTTGGTGCAACTCCAGGGTCTGGTCATCATATTTGGTGCAATTCCATGGTCTGATCATCATATTTGGTGCAACACCATGGTCCATCATCATATTTGGTGCAACTCCATGGTCCATCATCATATTTGGTGCAACTCCATTGTCTGATCATCATATTTGGTGCAACTCCATGGTCTATCATCATATTTGGTGCAACTCCATGGTCCATCATCATATTTGGTGCAACTCCATTGTCTGATCATCATATTTGGTGCAACTCCATGGTCTATCATCAAATTTGGTGCAACTCCATGGTCGGAAAGATCACATCCATCATCACATTTGATGCAACTCCTCGGTCTGAAAGATCACAGGGGTAACAAAAAACATTCCAATCTCAAAATCTTAACATCTACAATATCTTAACCAATTATGTGGCAGATGAAAATATACCATTTATGTGCAAGGAGTAGCAAATTCACATTCTGAATAGAACCACTGAGTTTCCAGTCTAGCTAGCTATAGACAATCAACTGTAATTCTCAATTGCATAATAATCTTTTTAAACTTGGTTCTTTTTTTAATTGGAAAGCCATATAAATCTAGTAAAATCCTCCATAATACACAAAATTGTTCACAAATTTACATGTAACACAAATTACAAAATTGTTTACAAAAAAGTTATCATGATAAATTCCTTAAAATAAAGTAATGTATAGTAAAATACCAAATTGCTCCATCATGCCTCTTTCCAACACATACACTTTGCCATCCACATCCTTGTGCTTGTCAAGTACTTCATTACTCTGTCACAGGTGTGCGTTAACCATCCACATTCTGACATCCATCCATAATCACACATGATGCCACTCAAGCAATTCAGTGTCCATGGCCTAAGGGTTTACAGAAAAGTCACTTGGTTAACAAAACAAAATTTCAATCGAAAAATGTTAACATTGACCATATTTTAAACAAACTTTTTAAACTAAACCAAAAAAGATAGTTTTCTTGGTTCTCAAGTCATATGGTGACTGACCAGGTAGAAAATATGTCCAAAACGTACATTGTTTCAGGCAAGGGCTGGTACCAGAGTAAAACAATGGACATTCCAGTCTACATGGTTATAGACTTTAAAGCTACAAAAGCCAATCAAACAACTGATGATTTATCACTTAACTATTGAAAAATTGAACCTCAATACATGTTGCACTCAAGCTGTCTTGTGACTTACACAAATTCAAAATAGATAATTTACCAATGCTCCATCATGTCACTTTCCAGCACAATCACACTTCACCAATGTCACAACAATCATTTCACCAATGTCACACAACCATCCACATTCCAACATAAATCCTCCATCACAACTTCCGACATGAACCTAGCAATCCAGCCAACATGTTTGGGTTTTCTGAAATGTCACTGGGGTTAACAGAACAACATTGCAAAATTTAACACTATAAGCTAAATTCTTTTGAAATTAAACAGATACAATAATTATCTTGTTATGGTGACTGTCCAGCTTTACAGATAAAGGAAAATATGCCTTAATGGCATTGTTTTGGACAAAGAGAGGCACCTATTAAGAGTAGAACCACCAACTTTCCATTAACTAGCTAGCTATACAACTATAAATGGAAATGCCTTTATTGAGACTTACTTGTGACCTCAAAAACAAATTTTACCTGACCATACAAAATGTCTGTCTCTCTCCACACTGAAACAACTTCCATTCTTACAAATCTGCCAGCACAGAGGTGTAGAAAGCTATTCCATACCATATCCTTCTTGCGAGTATATAGTCACTGGACCTCTCGAAGAATTGATAGTCTTGATCAACTTCCACCATGCATGTCAAGTTCTTCATTACCATGTCACAGGTGTGCTTTAACCATCCATTATCTGACATCGATCCATCATCACATTTTATGCCACTTAAGCCATTCAGCCTCCATGGTCTAAAGGTTTACTGAAAAGTCACTGGGTTAACAAAACAACATTCCAATCTCAAAAAGTTAACATTGACCATATTTTAAACAAATTCTTAATTAAAATGATAACAATTGTTTTGTTGGTTCTCAAGTCATATGGCGACTGGGCACCTTTATTGGTAGAAAATATGTCCCAAACGTACATTGTTTCAGGCAAGGGCTGGTACCAGAGTAAAACAACGGACATTCCAGTCTACATGGTTATAGACTTTAAAGCTACAAAAGACAATTTAATCAACTAAGGAATGTGTAACTGATTTATCACTTAACTATTGAAAAATTGAACCTCAATACATGTTGCACTCAAGCTGTCTTGTGACTTACACAAATTCAAAATAGATAATTTACCAATGCTCCATCATTTCACTTTCCAGCACAATCACATTTCACCAATGTCACAACAATCATTTCACCAATGTCACACAACCATCCACATTCCAACATAAATCCTCCATCACAACTTCCGACATGAACCTAGCAATCCAGCCAACATGTTTGGGTTTTCTGAAATGTCACTGGTGTTAACAGAACAACATTGCAAAATTTAACACTTTAAGCTAAATTCTTTTGAAATTAAACAGATACAATACTTATTTTATTATAGTGACTGTCCAGCTTTACAGATAAAGGAAAATATGCCTTAATGGCATTGTTTTGGACAAAGAGAGGCACCTATTAAGAGTAGAACCACCAACTTTCCATTAACTAGCTAGCTATACAACTATAAATGGAAATGCCTTTATTGAGACTTACTTGTGACCTCAAAAACAAATTTTACCTGACCATACAAAATGTCTGTCTCTCTCCACACTGAAACAACTTCCATTTTTACAAATCTGCCAGCACAGAGGTGTAGAAAGCTATTCCATACCATATCCTTCTTGCGAGTATATAGTCACTGGACCTCTCGAAGAATTGATAGTCTTGATCAACTTCCACCATGCATGTCAAGTTCTCCATTACCACGTCACAGGTGTGCTTTAACCATCCATTATCTGACATCGATCCATCATCACATTTTATGCCACTTAAGCCATTCAGCCTCCATGGTCTAAAGGTTTACTGAAAAGTCATTGGGTTAACAAAACAACATTCCAATCTCAAAAAGTTAACATTGACCATATTTTAAACAAATTCTTAATTAAAATGATAACAATTGTTTTGTTGGTTCTCAAGTCATATGGCGACTGGGCACCTTTAATGGTAGAAAATATGTCCAAAACGTACATTGTTTCAGGCAAGGGCTGGTACCAGAGTAAAACAACGGACATTCCAGTCTACATGGTTATAGACTTTAAAGCTACAAAAGACAATTTAATCAACTAAGGAATGTGTAACTGATTTATCACTTACAGTTGAGTTCACACTAAAGGTTACACAAAGTGCACTAGGAGTGCACTAGATGTGCACTACTAGTGCACTACAAAGTGCACTAGTAGTGCACTACTAGTGCACTTCATAAGTGCACTTTGTAGTGCACCAGACCTATTATATGTATTAAGCAGTTACCTTTTATTTCACTGAAAAGCAATTTGACTTTTACAAAAAGATAGAAAATATAGATATCTGTTTAATAGTTTTTCAATAAAAATTTGAAATTGTGATTATTGGATTTTGTAAAATATGGCGTAAAATATTAGAACAATAAATTTCAAAGTCATTAATTTTTCTGATTTTGTACTTTAAAATTTAATTGTTAGAATAAGTAATTTAAATATAAATAATTATAACTTTAATGTTGATAAGTGCATAAATAAAAAAAACTTAATTGATATTTAATATGATTCTATTTTATTAATAATCTGGTAATGAAATATGAAACATTGAAATGCTAAATCAAAACAAAATTAAGTCAGTTCTTTTTTGGGGGGGGGGGAATTATACCGTAGTATTAGTTATTTTTGATCTTAACTTATGGTTGTTTTAGTTAAAGGTAATGATTTTAAGCATTAATAGCCTTTAATACATTAAAGAATTAATATATTTATAATTGGCCTAAATTTTGTCAATTTTATTTCATTTATGATCTCTCTTACCTTCTCAAACTGAGATTTACCTAAGATTAATATAAATGATATATATTATTCTGAAAATAAATATTTATATATAATGGTGGTATGTATTGATATGTGTGGATTAAGTATTGATATGTACCTGTGGGATACTAGTATACTTAAACTGACATGGATATTAACAAAAAGATTAGAAAATCTGTCAATTCCAGTTTTTGAGACGACACCAATCTTTTTTCCTTTTTTTTTCATGCATTGTAACATTATTATGCAATATGATTAATTTTATGAGTTTATTATAAATTGCAAAAATATTCATTTTTCTTTTTGTACTATTTGTAATGAAATTTATTTGCACCAACATCCAGAGAATACAGAATTTACATTGCCTAATCTGGCTTATGTTATTTTACCCTGAGGGGCTCTCTTATCAGCAGAGTACTATATCAAAACACCTATACACAGCATGACTTTTGACACTTAATCTCCTGTAACTGTTTTCTGCTCATGTATGATATTAAATTAAAAAAAAAAAAACAGAAAAAAAAACAGATCTGCATTAAAGTGAAAAGGAAGTTGCAAAAGTTTTATAATCATGTATTTAAATAATATTTTCATTAAAATATATTATCTTCTAAATGCGTAAAAACTGACAAGGCAAATTTGTCAATTCTATAATAGAAAAAAATAACAATTCCCAGTTCAAAAACTAAAAGATGCTGCAAATTTTAATGCAGAATTGCAAGAAAATGTAAAAAAATATTGATACAAAGTCTTTGAGAATAGTTAACACTGATATTGGTTTTAAACCAGTTTTTTATAATAAGATTAGAAAATTCCACTTCAAAGACAATAAATGACAATAATATCTAACGTGCGTTTATGACATTAAGATTATTTTTTACATTTGATTATACAAAAAGTATAGTCATTTATCGATGACTTACATGTATTTTGGGGGAAAAAAGGAAATTTTCAATAAATATTGCATACATCTGCATTTTTGTTATTTACCCTGAGGCCCCCTTATCAGCAGGAGACCAGTGTAATGAAAACAGTCGCTCTCAAAAAAATACCAATACACAGCATGACTCGAGACTTTCCTCTTGTATAAAATTAAACATTTCCTTTATACATTACATTTTTAATGTAGAAATCTTGAATAAAGTTATCAATTTTATTTATTTTATGGAAAAATTTTAATTATGTATATCTTTAAAAAGTATGCAAGCATTTTATGGTTGAAAAACATAATATCACAGTGTATAAAATGTTTTAAAATTAATCAATTAATATTCTCTTTCAATCTTGAACATGAGGAATTGCCTCTTAAGTTATATATTATCACGGATTTATATTAATAGTATATAGTAATATAAATCCGTGATATTATTATGCAGAATGGCAAGAAATGTGGATAAATGGATACATATAGAAAATTCCGCTTTAGAGAAATAATATCAGAGACATAGATAACATCTATCTATGTCTATGATAATATCTATTATGCATTTATGCCTTTATGTTTTTTTTGTATATTTGATTATACAAAAATTATGGTCATTTACTGAGTGCCAGGCTTATGTCTAACATGCATTTTGAGAAAACCAGGGAATTTCAATGCATTCTTATAAATCTGCAAAATTGACTGTTCTTTGTTATTTACCCTGAGGCCCTCTTATCAGCAGGAGAGTGGTATATTGAAAACAGTCCCTCTCAGAAAATACCAATACACAGCATGACTTGAGATTTTCCTCTTCAATAAAAGTATTCCCTTTATACATTAAATTTTTAATATTAAAATAATGAATAAAGATATCAAATTTATTTATTTTATGGATAGTATTTAAATTATTTGCATAAACATATGCAAGCATTACACAGTTGAATACTAAATTATCACAGTATATTGATTGTTTTAAAATCAATGTATTAATATTCTTTTTCAATATTGAACATGATGAATTGTCTCTAAGTTATATATTATAGAAATAATATTTTAGCTTAAATATAACCTTTCCTTGATTTGTTTGAGCTTATGAAAAAAGTTTATGATATAACAAACTAAATTAATCGGGCCAGAATTATCACATTGATTTATACCATTTGTACACTAGAAAAATTGAAATATATGGCCATTTAAAAAAGCTTTAAAAACACTTATTTAATTATCCATTATGGAGCATATTTAAATTTAACCTTATTAATTCTATAAATTTGATTTTAAGGGGTATTATTTTTCACTTACAGTTAAATACTGGTTAATAAAAATATGATTACAATAAATGAAAAAAACATTTTAATTTTAAGCTTCAACATGATAATCACCTAAAATGTTAAAACTGCTGATTTTAAAATTTACTTATTTATATTCATGAATAGGCCATATATATATTTTCCCAATTTATTTTTTTCATACAGCAGCGTAACAATGGTATACAATTATCCAATAAACCATTTAGGTGTCACCTTCCCTGGCCAGCCTGGTCATATGGTCTAGTGCACTAGAAGTGCACTTCTAGTGCACTTCTAGTTCAGCTCTAGTGCACTAGAAGTGCACAAGGGTGGGAAGTTTAGTGTGAACTCAACTGTAACTATTGAAAAATTGAACCTCAATACATGTTGCACTCAAGCTGTCTTGTGACTTACACAAATTCAAAATAGATAATTTACCAATGCTCCATCATTTCACTTTCCAGCACAATCACACTTCACCAATGTCACAACAATCATTTCACCAATGTCACACAACCATCCACATTCCAACATAAATCCTCCATCACAACTTCCGACATGAACCTAGCAATCCAGCCAACATGTTTGGGTTTTCTGAAATGTCACTGGTGTTAACAGAACAACATTGCAAAATTTAACACTTTAAGCTAAATTCTTTTGAAATTAAACAGATACAATACTTATTTTATTATAGTGACTGTCTAGCTTTACAGATAGAGGAAAATATGCCTTAATAGCATTGTTTTGGACAAAGACAGGCACCTATTAAGAGTAGAACCACCAACTTTCCATAAACTAGCTAGTTATACAACTATAAATGGAAATGCCTTTATTGAGACTTACTTGTGACCTCAAAAACAAATTTTACCTGACCATACAAAATGTCTGTCTCTCTCCACATTGAAACAACTTCCATTCTTACAAATCTGCCAGCACAGAGGTGTAGAAAGCTATTCCATACCATATCCTTCTTGCGAGTATATAGTCGCTGGACCTCTCGAAGAATTGATAGTCTCGATCAACTTCCACCATGCATGTCAAGTACTTCATTACTCTGTCCCAGTCCACTTTCTTACATCGATCCATCATCACATTTGATGCAACTTCATGGTCAGTGAAATACCACATCCATCATCATATTTGGTGCAACTCCATGGTCCATCATCACATTTGGTGCAACTCTATGGTCCATCATCACATTTGGTGCAACTCCATGGTCCATCATCATATTTGGTGCAACTCCAGGGTCCATCATCATATTTGGTGCAATTCCATGATCCATCATCATATTTGGTGCAACTCCTTGGTCCATCGTCACATTTGGTGCAACTCCAGGGTCTGATCATCATATTTGATGCAATTCCATGGTCTGATCATCATATTTGGTGCAACTCCATGGTCCATCATCATATTTGGTGCAACTCCATTGTCTGATCATCATATTTGGTGCAACTCCATTGTCTGATCATCATATTTGGTGCAACTCCATGGTCTATCATCATATTTGGTGCAACTCCATGGTCGGAAAGATCACATCCATCATCACATTTGGTGCAACTCCTCAGTCTGAAAGATCACAGGGGTACCAAAACAACATTCTAATTTCATAGTTTTAACTTCTACAAATTACTTTCCAACTAAACGGACAACTCTTTGTTATTTAATGGTTTAAAGTTATGTGGCAGATGAAAATATACCAT